AGTAGCAGAAACTACTACTACCACTACTGCTACTCATGTCTCTGAAGATGAATCTGTGACGGATGTCGAAACGTCAGGCGAATAAACATATTGCCCCAGCGATCGAGTCTTCTTCTTCTGCTTCTCAATTGCTTCCTGGGATACGCATGTTCGCTTGTATTGGCAATAGTACGCATGTCGTCGCGTGACCACTACGAACTATAAGTACTGCGTAATCTGTGCATGTATGACCCTATTCTACGGCTGCCTCTGATGAAGTTTTCTTAACAGCAACCGAAACGTCAGGCAAATAAACTTCTTGTTCCAGCGATCACATCTTCTACTACTGACCTCCGAGTACTGTTTTGTTTTGAAAGGCGAATGAGTTCCGCCCGCCAGTCCGAATAACAGGTTGCCGAACGCGCGGGAAATCACCATATCTTTGTCTGACTTCTACCGGATATAGCGGCGTGACAATCGTGGATAGGCTGTTTCCTGTGTGGTGACCCCATCGTGGAGTAATCGCTAATGTCCGACCCGTTGCACGCGTGAGCAAGAAAGCCAAGCTCACGCATGCGATGACATGCGCACACGCGGATTGGCCTAGTTCCTAATGAGTACTGAGTTAGGTGGTCTTTATTGAGTTACTTATATCTGCTTCTGTGATTTTTGAAAATATGGAAATGCTTGGCAAATGTACTTTAAGCAGTACACCTTATATATCCCATACCCAGCATTCCATAGGGGTTTTGTTGGTGAGGAAATAGGATAGACAGTGAAGTAAATTTGTGGAAGTGTAGTGTTAAAATGGTGTTGAATTAGTTTACCGCGGCCACTATATACCCACGGATTAGAGTGCGTAAGTCGAAAAAAGGACCAAAAACAGCACTTAATAAATACAAGGTATTTGCATAAAGAGGCAGGCTTAAGTCTGTGACAGGCCAGGAGCCAGTGGGATTAATAGCTGAAATGCATTTTGTAGTTATTAGAGTATATTCCAGCATTCCGGTATAAGTCTGCACCGTGTCATCGATGCCGCGCTTACTAAAACCACAAAAGGAATGTAGTCTACCACCATACAATTACTTCTATAACTTTCCTTCACTGTCTATCCTATTTCCCCAACCGCAAAACCCCTATTACCACCGCTTCCGTCAAACAGAGTGCTGGGGCTAGGGATATGTGGCGTATATATGGTCCGAACTGCGGGTGGTGCGCCACTTGGGGTTGGATATGACTGACTGACGACGGCTAATAAGCCCGAAATGGCCATTCCAGCATCCGTTGTCTTTG